GAGAAATTTCTCGGAGCCGAGAAACATTCTCATCCCTGCACATAGGTTACGGCAGCACCTCGTGTGGCAATGTCACCGGGCTCTGCTAAAGACCTCCGTAATCACTGTAACAACAGTGACTGGTTTTACTCAAACCCATTTTGATTCGAAGTTATCCATAGGAATTACATATACGAATACAAATAATATACATATACATATAAGAAGACTATAGGAATTACATGTTTGAGTGAGACCAGCACAGTATCATACTGCCGCCATTATAGCCCATTTTCATGAAGTTAACACACGTGAGAGGGCCATGAAGGACATGCAAGTCCAATATAGGAGGACCATAGTCATACAAACTATCAGAATAGAATCACACTGCTATATTAGACCCCACAATATAGACTGGCAAATCATTAAGCACGCACAATTAAAATGCAAACCGATTCAGGCATATAAAATATTTGGAGCCCACCTGCAAGCTCTAACATTTTCCATTTCACAAGCCTATTTCAAATTTGTCACTCGTACCCAAATGTAGTCTGCCTAAACTGTGTAATTTATTTCACTGCTATCCTAAACATGGTGGTTGCTAAAAGTATTACCTCATCGTCTAGAACCTCCACCAGCTTGACAATGTTGCTGTGACCTTGACAAAGTCGCAGGAGCTGTACCTCCCTGCTGGTGTTGATACGCTTGCTTAGGATCTTTACCGCATATTCTGTCTCATCACTTCTCAACCTGCATCGCCTGGAAAAATTTGTCACATTGTTTCTGATTTACTAAGAAAAGCAGTTATTAAAGGATGATTGAATAAAGCCTTAATGGTGTATCTTATTATATTTTTTGGGATGTTTCGTTATCGTAACTTTACGAGGTTTCTGTCAACGGTTTACGAGTCAAAGTTAATGTTAAGACTAATGTTAAGACTAATTTTGTTTCTGACAACAGGGCCCTGGTGTCCACTCCTACGTCCTCCTGCGGCCTCACTACATTACATATTTATCAAGCAGTAACAGTAGCATGCCTTCACCATCAGCAGTCATCAGTGGCAGCTCACCCAGCACCCAGGTCACGCTAGCTGAATCAGTCCTTACCTACACACCGAGTAACTGCCATGGCCTAGAAGACCCTCCTTACTGAGATCTAAGCTGTACTTCTGGTTAAATGCTGAATGCTGAAATGGATCGTAAGAGAACATGGTGACAGACAACCACTGAAGTTTATCGAGAACATAGGTGTTACAAAATCAATAAATAATAGATAATAAATGCACTGTAGTATATATACTTGCACCATGTTATATCTTCTCTTAAACAATAGCAAATCAGAAGTATTATACAAAGTCTGAGAGTACAATGACAATGACGAATATTATAATGTAATCATATAAGACACAGTAGGACGTATATTATACTAGTGATGGTGCTAGTAAGACATAGTAATACCGGAAAACAAACATTTGTACATTGAACAACAACAGTTATTGCATTGTAATGCGAGTAACATCAGTAGCTAGCTCGAGGAATCAACGGACTCACCTGATAAAGGCAAGCAAATGTCACTTGAGCATCGTTAGGTGCTTCCAGCTCACTCGCTGTGTGGATGTCTGTACTCACCACATTGTCCGTAAAAATGATCGATGGAGCTATGTAGGAGTAACCCTGTATACAAGAATCACAGAGATAAAGATAAATGTGGAGGTAACAGTTACCTGAAGGTTCAGAAGAATTCAAATAGAAACCCTCTGAAAGGATGATTATCATAAAAGATTTATGTATTATACACGCACAATCTATGTGCTGTATTTCCCCCACTATGCAACATTTATAAACAAATGAGCAGCTGCACACTGTTATGATGGTGTAGAGTGAATAGTGACAATAATGGTACCGATAGTGGTTTCAGCAGCGACAGTACCACCAGCCGCAGTAGTAGAAGTAGCGATAGCAGCAGTAGTAAAAGTAAAAGAAAAAGTAGTGGTGATACTAACACTCTAATCCGCCATTCTAATCCACCATATGACTGCGTTTGGCCTAATTTGATCACAGTGTTACAATAAAGCTGCGTTTACACTATCAACTTTTTGCTGGAAAGTTGACAGGCTGATAAACATTTCTACTAATCGACCGAAAGTTGGCAGTGTACATGTAAAATTTGAGTGCTGAACGAGCTGATAGGAACTAGTTGAGAAATTTGAACATGTTCTATTTTCTCAACCCTTGGTCAGCGAGTTGATCAAGTTTTTGCCACTGAGCCACTCCGATAATAGCATTCAGGGGATGTGTCCCTCCACCAAGGGGGAGAGCGCATTTTTGCTATACGTGCCACACTGGCGAGAATTAATATGCACACGTCCCCTCGCGCGCACACTACGGGTCGATAATGTAAAAACTTTGAACATCTGACAGAAAAGTTGATAGAACGTTGCAAAACTGATCATCTCATCGATTTTTCCATAGTGTAAACCTAGCTTGAGAGATGCCACACTCACCCGGAACAAGCAGGCGTTCCTGACGTTAGGAACGACGGCGGGCGAGTCGGCGACGACCTGTCCCGTGAACTCCTCGGCAAAATTACTCACATCCAACTCATCGTCTATCTGTGGCTTGAAGAAAGGATTCACCTTCTTCTTCGCGACGTCGTCCCAGTCCAGACCCTGTAGTCAGTACATAGCACGTATTAGTTGTTAATAGCTGTTTGTTTACCTCACACTTTCAAGTGTGCACATAACTGGAGTAACATAAGAACATTAAATTTGCATGTAAACCACACAGAGCTTGCATGTAGACCATACCAAAAGAGCATGAACTCTTTCACTCACACAT